CACCCCCACTCCCCTCCCTCCAGAATTCCCAGGTAACAACCTAATATACATATGAATGACTAGCCAATTTAGCTTCCACTTGGCTGAAGCTAAAGCTTAGCTAAAAGCCTACCAGCCATTTGGCTGCTCTCCGGGTTTTATAGGTAGAAAGGTAGAAGCCTGGGGATGCTAGTAAAATTACAGTTATATACTTGAATTTCTGAACAGAAAAAAGCATTTTAAGTTGAGTTTGCCAGCTGAAATCTGGGTATAAAAATGTGAATTCAGTTTGTTATTTGACAGCGTTCCAAAATATTTATCTTTTTTCCCTTTTTATGACAGGTAGCCAAATAAATGTTTTTATCACTGTCTCAGGATGCTTTATAACAGAATAAGTGTTGAACTGTATTAATAGTTGTTTTATACAATTTTATGCAGTATTATACAAAAAAGAAAACAAATAGAGAAAAATAGGTAGAGAACAAAACCTCTAAATGACCAAAAAAAAGCCTATCTAGAAGCAAGATTTACAACTAGGCTGTGCAAGTTGCAAACACCTCCACGTGGTTATTTATCAAAAGTAAGATTTTAAAGACTTTTTTGTTCACCTGAAAGTTTAACTTATACGAACCATGCTTAAAGTTACACACAGGTCTTGGTTCAACACACCAGTAAACTGAATAGATGCTATGGTTACACAGCAAGGAACTGCCATGAGACAGGTAAACAGATGTGAACCTCATAGTTGATATCATTCAGTTTTGATTGGCTCTTCAGATGCAGGAGAATCTCTGTCTTGGCAATTATAGAACTTCCCCACAAATTAAGATCCATGTTGCCTTCATATAATGTCTGCTACTTATGACACTAGAAGAGACTGAGGCTACTCCACACTAATGTGTTTTCATTTGAAAACGCATTGTTTTCTCTGTTTTGGCCCCCCGTCCACACTGAAACGCTGCGCTTTCCTCAAGGAAAAATGCAGCATTTTGAAAACGCTCTTGAAAACGCATACATTTAAAAACGCAGCTGTCCTGTCGCAGTGTGGACACACAAAAACGCAGACTTTCTAAAACGATGAAGTATTTTAGTCATGTGATGCAGTCATGTGACCAAATAAACAAAGATAGCGGAGTGCATTATACAGCAGTTGTTTTGATTGCTCTCAATTTTGACAGCCCTAAAAAAGATGAATATCACTTTGTACATGCTCCAGATAGCTTTTCTTCAAATTCTTTAATTCTCACTCGCTTTTGCGCATGCGCAGGACTGGAACGTAAGCGTTTTCATCCATTTCAATGTAGACGCGCAGCTGTGAAAACGACTGAAAACGCTAGTGTGGACGCGGTGCATTTTCAGATGAAAACGCCGTTTTCAAATGTATCCGGGCTAGTGTGGACGTAGCCTGAGAGTCAAGGATGTATAAGGTGGTTAAGACCACACTTACCTTATCTGCATCCAGAATATTCTCAGGCTCTTTGATGAGGACACTCTTGTCGATGGCACTTAAACCACACAAAGAGTGTGGAAGCGCCGTCACCTCCATGTTGGTTTTTTCTCCTGGCACAGTTGAAGAAGGTGTGAACTCCAATGACACCTGACACAGACAAAGCGTGTATTACACCATCTAAACTTTAATGGTTTTAAAAGAACAAAAGTTCAAGCCTATATCACACAGAAACCATTCACTAGCTTTTATGTAGTTTTTGGAGTTCAGGTTTGATAATCACTGTGTCATAGTCTGGGTGAGCTCAAGTGTTTTTTCCTCTGTTTTTCTTGTGTTGCCCAGTATCTACCCTGGGGTGGCGTCCTCGTCATCTCACCTGATCTGCTCCCCTCATCCTCACTGCAATCAGTGAGATAGCATTTAAGACCAGGGTCCCCCATCTCTTCTCCACCTGTTTTCGAGCTAACCTCACGCTGGTAACAGGCCTTATCATTCTCCTTGTTAAAGGAGCATTTTCTGTTGCACATCCGCCACTCAGGATTAATCCTTCTACCGCTTCCGCCTGTCCTCCTGCCACTTTCTCTCTTGGCTCTCTAGAAAAGAAAGGTCAGAACCCTCTCACTAGCTCACCATTCTAGATGCACACCTAGCGATTCAAACCTGCCAAGTAAGACTCTATTTCAGTATTAGTCACCTCTCCAGACAAGCTTCCCTTACCTTTTCTCCATGTTCAGTTTTGCTACATTCGGTTCCCTGCTAAATATCCCTCCTTTGTGACACTATTTACTCATGTGTTTAAGAAAATAAAACCTGTGAAAACCTTATCGCTGTTTCCCATGCTTGAATCGGCTCTTGGGTCCTCATCCATGTACTAACTAGTTTATCTGATTTTGTAGTTTCCAAAGTTCTATTTTGGTCATTTCTGCAAAAAGAAAATAAAATGCATTTTTTTAATAGCCACATTTTGAATTGGTGCTTTTATTTTGGCACCGCAGACATGTAGCTATGTACAATTAGCCTAATGAAAAATGGACCCAGAAGATCCAATACAGGCAGCGATCTCGAAGTAGGGTTCAATACTAGGTAATTATCAACAGTCAGTCCAATTCCTAGAAATACAATGCAAATCTATTGGTGACACTCAAGAAAAGATCATTGCCTCACTATTAGAACTCCAGCTCAGTTTCACTCCCAGCCAAACCACTTCCACGCACACTTCCACTCCTTTCCCCGCTTCCATAGGACCTGCCCCAACTTTACCTGCCATTAACACTTCTCAGCCTGAGCCATTCACCAGGGTACAGGGTTGCTGTAAGGGTTTCCTGTTGCAATGCTCTTATGTTTTCTCAATCACCACACTCCATCCCTGACAACACCTCTGAGCTCTCGTAAGTGGTAGGCAAGCTGAGGGGTAAAGCATTGGTATGGGTTGAGGCGTGTTTGTCATCACATTCATTTTCATCCTGCTCTTATGATGAGTTTCAAGGGAAGATTAAAAGACCGTTGCCCACCTCATCTCTGAGGGCAGCTTGGAGCTTGAAGTCAAGTTAGATGTAACATAGCTAAGTTTGTCATCGATTTCTGCATGGCAGCTGCCCAGGTGGGTTGGCCTGATCATGTGCTCCTGGGAATATTTATGAGTTAGCTTCTCATGATGAGCCCACATCGTTCAAGGATTTGGTTTATTTCCTCCTCCCTCTCTCTCAGGATCGCCTGAGAGAGAGAAAAGGCTACGTAGCTGGCTATGTAATTGCACTTGCCTCTGTTCTACCCGACCCTCCCATTCTAGCCACAGTTTTAAACAATTTTTCCCATATTACTCATCAAACCAGACCAGTCTCCCAAATTACTTCTGGTGACTGTCCCTGGCTACCCTTGTCTAAAGAAACATAATCCCCATATTGAATGGTTACACAAATTACTAGCTGGAGCCTTTTTTTGCCTTGCTAACTGCCTCTATAATCACCTGCCGAACCTTCACCACCAGATCTGTCCTCAGTCCCCAAGGAGTATCATGACCTCCATGAAGTATTCCGTAAACATAAGGCACGTCCACTCCACAGACCCTATGATTGCACCATCAACCAGCCACCCTGACAACTTGTCCAAGCCAGAGAGAGAAGCCATGGATAAGTATATTCGAGAGTCCCATCATCTGCCCATCCTCTTCCCTGGTAGGTGCAGGCTTTTTCTTCATCACTAAGAAGGACAAGACCCAAAGTCCTTGTATTGACTACAGAAGTTTAAATGAGATTGCGATCAAAAGAAAATATCTTCTCCCGCTCATCAATTCAGCTTTTGAACCTGTTCATGGTGCCACCACTTTTTCTAAGTTAAATCTACACAATGACTATCATCTGGTCCCCCTTTGGTCACTCAAAGTATCTGGTCATGCCGTTTGGTCTCACTAAAATTCCCACAGTTTACCAAACATTAGTTAATGAGGTCCTGAGAAACTTCTTGAACGTTTTTGTGTTCATGTATTTAGACGACATCCTAACCTTTTCCAAGACTCTGGAGGAACATCTGGTCCAGATCAAATCTGTGCTGAAGCGCCTTCTCGAAACCGGTTATACGTCAAAGTGGAGAAAGGTGAGTTTCATTCATCTTCAGTCACTTTTCTTGGTTACATCCTGGCAGGAGGGCAGGTGAAGACCGACCCAGCAAAAGTCCAAGCTGTTAGGGAATGTCTCACTCCCACATCTCAAAAAAAACGTTCTCAGATTCGTCAATTTTTACTGCTGCTTCATCTGGAATTACAGTCAGGTAGCAGAACCACTCACTCACCTCACCAAGATACCCTTCATCTGTACACAACAGGCCAAAACTGCATTCACCTGCATTCGCTAATACAGATGAATGCAGGTGTTCACCTGTGTTCATAGTAGAGGTTTATGCCTCCAGTACAGGAGCGGTTTAATTTCCTGGGACGTGGAGGAAACTATCCACTGTGCTCTGCTTGATGAACCTCTTTTTGCAGCCGGAGGTGGAGCTCGCCATTCCATGAGTCCAATATCTACATTGGCATGACATCTCGACTTGGACTCAGGAAGTGCTGCTCAAGGTTCTCGATTGACCACGCCACAATGCAGATCGATTGAGAACTCCGGCTCCCAGGTATACTCCGGGGCAAAAGCTATGGCAAATACCTCCCGCAAGCAGGCCCCACGCAGCATTGGTCCCTATGAAATCAAGGCCATCATCAGCCGAACGGCAATAAAGTTAAGGCTCCCTGCATTCATGCGCATAAATCCCATATTCCACGTGTCCCAAGTCAGGCTGGGGAACTCCAGCCCTCTGTTCACAGTTTTGCCATATTTGACGCCCTGCCAAGTATCCCTCCTTCGGTATTTATTCTTGTGTTTAGAACTTGTGAAAACCTTATCACTGTTTCCTGTGCTTGAATCTGCTCTTGGGTCCCTGTCCATGTACTGACCTCCAGGCACTTGTGACACACTGCCCACTCGATGTTTGCTAAAGCTGTGGCTTCCTTGTTGGGAGGGAGTCTGTTCCACTTTGATTGAAGTTTTTTGAGGGGTTTTTTCTTGTATGTCATGGTTTCATATAATTAAACTTAACTTACACTAATCAATATATCTAGTACAGCTGCACACAGTTTACACCAACATATACCTTGTGACTGAAGCATTTCTCAGTAGAGAAGTCAGCGCTGTGGGCAATCACATTCGTACTGGAAAGTACAGCATATGCTACAATCTGGACGACTGGTGCCATGTCAGTAGAAATTCTCAATTTAAAGGACACCTCACCCTCATTCACTGAAACAAACAAGCATACCAAAAATAGCTATAATATCAGTTTTATTTTAATAATCACCAAACTTTTTTTAAAAGGGTAACTGGATTTAATACCTGATATTACAAAAGAATTTCATGAACTCATGATTTGAGCCAGTCTTTACATACCTGACTGATCTTTAAATTTAATCTGTTTAAATCCTTGCATGACAATGGCTCCTCTGGACAACACCTGAAGAATATAGAAGAAAATGACATAAAATGTGTAATCCAGCTGTAACATTGTGCATTTTGCGTCTCTCCCAGCTTTAAGTCCTGCCGGGAGTTATTCAGAAACAGACAGTGCAGTCTGCTTGTGGTCTTGTATTTTGAAAATTGACTGGACTTTGGACAAATGACCGAACATCCTCCAGCTTCTGTCTCCAGTGGGGCAAAAGGCTCAGATGCCCCTTCTCCCCTTCATTGTTTGCATTTTTTTTTATCAAACTAGCAGCAGCAATCTGGCTATAGCAATTAAGGGAATAAAATGCAAGAATGTAGAACATAAAATTAGTCTTTATGCAGATGATGTGTTGCTTTTTCTTCAGCATTTACAAACCACTTTCTCTGAGGTGAATATATTAATAAACTCTTTCTGTTTCATTCGATAAACTGGTAGATTTTAAATTTTTTTTCCCTTTCTTTTTTTTTCTTTTTTTTTTACTGTGGATGAACTTGTGACAAGCAATAACTCACCAGATATACCACATCCATGTAAACTGCGGTTTCCCTCACTATAGTGTACTGAATAGATATATCCTCTTCTGCATCGCAGGAAAGGGGTTTATCCTTCATCTTCAGCTTCAGCAAGCTAAATGTTTTTTCATCTTGAGAAGGAGGTTGGGATGTATACACTGTGTGAAATCCTAAATCATAAAAAGGAGTTCTATGGCTTTGGAAGTATAGGGTTGGTGTCAGGGCTGCCTGAATTGTAGAAAAGAAACATACATAATTTGATGAAGAAGAAAACACTGTGGAAGGTCACTCAAAGATGGGTTTTAGAAGCAAGCTAATGTAAAATAATCTTAACAGTTTCACTATAGTCACTAATTACTATTGTAGCACCTTGGACAAGCGACATCAGAAATCATATTAAGTCAATGAAAACATTGTCATGTAACTTACCAATGCTGACTTAAAAACTACAGTTTCAGTGTAATTATCTACTTACATGGAGTTTAATATCTTCATGAAAGTTATCTGTGCTGAATGAAAACTCAGCGACACCGTTGCTGTCAGTTGTTAGATTTTTTAGTAAGCGTTCCGACCAACGTTCTCCCACAAACAGGTAGACAGGTGCTTTGGAAATGGGTGTATCATTGTAGTAAACTGCTTTAACCTGTTCAAACCACAATGTTTCATTACTAAAACCCACATTATTTACACTACATTCTAAATTACATAGCACAAATTTGAACTTACTTTTCCCTCCACATTTGATCCTGGTTCCCAAATCTTGGGAACATCAACAAAAGATGCTTTTCCAAGGACAAAAGAAATTCTTATTTTCATTTCTTGTTTGTGTGAAATGCCTGAATACGAAACCTCAATGTTAAAACAATGCACATGCCATATTTCCACAAATGCACAATAACCTATAATTTAAAAAAAAATGTAACAATTAAAATAAAATGAAAAATAACAACTGCAAGACTTTCCTGTTCCCTCCTCTTCCATTTTGGCAATGACATTCAGCTTATCTTTAAGGAATTTTTTGTTAATTTTGGTGAAGGTTGACATCTTGAACGTAACAGCTGCACAGCCTGTTCCATCAGCCTAGAAATTCCAAAACAATAAAATATAAATAATTTTAAAAAGGCTTACATCATACTTTTATTTCCTAAGACCCGAAGTCTTTCATGGCATGCATTTTTAATTTGTCTTTGCTATTTGGGCTGATTGGGACCTGATGAATGTAAAAACAAAGAATTATCTTTATACTGATTTTGCTCTACAAGGGCCTGATATCCACATATAAGGATATTCGTTTTAATTTCAATAGAACAGTGGCAGTATAATGTCGTTGTAAGTGAAAATCAGGCTCGTGTAGAGCAAAATTTAGTATTGTGGTCTAGACAACCCAAAATTTGATGTCAACATATGTGGACGCCAGGTTCTAGGAGGTTAAGCAGGTTGCAACAATTTGGACTTTGTTGCAGTCGCTCAAGCCAGTTGTAGCTCTACCAGTGTTACTAATGGAATAAATGACTTAAACTCATTATTTAATCAGTTAGCTTGTTAAGAGCTGACACACTGACACAAGCATGAGCCACAGAACATATTCATAACAGCAGAAAAAAAATGGAGTCAAAGTGATAGCTACAATTCAGCATTCATAAATAATGAGGGCACAACAGTGAATATTACTGAATCTGTAACCGGGTATTTTATAATACAGAATTAAAAATAAATGCTTTAAGGACACTAAAAAATATTTAATTGAAATTCAAGTTCAACTTGAAATTTTACTCATTATATTCTCGAAATTTGGAGATAGATAAGATAATGATAAAGTACTGCATTAATTCCTGACATACAGAAATCTTCTGCATGGGCATGTGGTCTGCTTTTATCTGCACATTGTTTCAGGAGAAATTTGAGACTGGAACAACTGTACCCGTTTGGTCTCTGTGTGGCAGGGAGCCTCTGTCTTGTGTTTCTTAGCAGAGGAAATAGAGCGTTCAAGAAGTCGGCACATCGTAACTGTAATACTTCCTGGAACAGGCTGTCCAAATGTGTACCTATTAAAATAAAAACAAAAATTAAAAAAAACTCCAATTTGTGAGGATCTAAATTGCCACTTGTCAAGAAAGGACTCCTACTTACTTTGCACATGATTTAATATCAACTTCTTCCTGGCCAATACTCACTTCTTCAGATACATTTACTGTTATGTCAAATTTGGGTAAAACTGGGGACAAAATATCAAAGTTCGCATCTGCATTATATTAAGAATATTTAAAAACAGAATTTCAAAAGATATTTTTAAAGACCTGACTTACCATACTTTTCCACCTTGAATTTGTGAACAAATTTATCTTCACCCACAGAGACAATTATTTTGTACGTTCCTTCATGGGCCTCAGAGTTCAAGGAGTATGAAAGCTGCAATATTTTATTATTGGATGTTTCATTTAACCACTGTCCAATCCTGTTTTTATTGGGATTCTGTTAAATACAAGAGAAGTACGTGTACAACTTAACCTTTTCAATTGTTTGCACTTGTTTGCATATTAAAGAATATGTTGGTGAACCCCAAAGGTTGTCTGGTGCATATATTGGTGTATGTATTTCTGCTTATTGAGTGAAAAACAAACAAATTAAAGTCTAATAACCTGGTATAAGAGAGAACTGGACTACTGCATCTCATCTGGTCTCCAGTATAGGCAATATAAAGTTGTGATCAAAATGTTACATAAAGTTATCATAGGGAAAAATGTCATAGTGACTTTCGTTTTTTTTTTTAAATTATTATTATTATTATTTTTCCAGGTTGAAATGACTATACAGAAAAAATAAATTATTTTGTATTTTCTCTAATCGGTAGCCATCAAGAATCTTCTGGTATAATTCCAGGTGGATATTTAATAATAATACATTTTATTCATAAAGCGCCTTTCAAGACACCCAAGGACACTTAACAAACAACAAATAAACAACAATAAAACAAATAACAGAACAATGATCAAATGAAGAACAATAAAAACAAAAGCACAATATAAAATTAGCAAACAATTAATTCACAGTGAATATACAGATTTGAACAGATGGGTTTTGAGTTGAGATTTAAACCAATGTTTCTTATATCTGGGAGCAGAGCAGCTGCAAGCTCTGCTTCCCATGGTCGTGAGGCGGAAAGAAGGCACAGCAAGCTGGATAGAAGATGAGGATCGAAGTGAGCAGGCAGAAGAGGTAGTGCTTAACAGATCAGAAAGGTAAGCAGGAGCAAGGTTATGAGGGTGAGCAGAAGAAGTTTGTACACTATCCAGAATTTCACAGGGAGCCAGTGAAGTTCCTGAAGAACAGGGGTGATGTGCTGGTACGAGGAGGTTCTGGTAATAATGCGGACAGTGGAGTTTTGAACCAGTTAAAGCTTGTGGAGGGACTTTTGGAGGAGACCATGTAAGAGAGAATTACAGTACCAAAGCCGGGAGGTAACGAGACCATGGACAAGAATGGGCAAAGACTGGTGGGAGAGAGAAGGACGTAATCTGTTGATGTTGCGTAGATGGAAATAGGCAGAACGATTGAGATTATTGATGTGCGATTTATAGGACAGGATGACACCAAGGCTCTTAACATGAGGTGAAGGGAAAACCTCTGGAGTCATCAGTAGTGAGTGAGAAATGATTTGCCTTCAAAAGGTTGGATTTAGTGCCAATAAGAAGGATTTCAGTTTTTTCCTCATTAAGCTTAAGAAAATTAGAGCTGAATCAGGATTTCAATTCAGATATGCATTCTGTAAGGGAAGAAGCTGGGAGGGAAGAACCAGGTCTGCAGGAGAGATATAACTGGGTGTCATCAGCAAAACAGTGAAAGTGAAGATCAAATTCACAGAAAATGGTACCAAGAGGGAGGATGTATATTATGAAGACAAGAGGGCCTAAGACTAACCCTTGGGGTACACCAGATGTGACTGGCAATAGATGAGAATGGAATGTTTAATTTGAATAAACTGGGAGCGGTCAAGGAGATATGACTGAAATCAGGCTAGGGATGTGTCAGAGATGCCAAGAGAGGAAAATCTGCTCAGAAGGACGTAGTGAGAGTTTGTGTCTAAGGCTGAGCTCAGATCCAAAAGGATGACAATGTTGAGAAGGCCAGAGTCAGCTCCGATTACAAGATTATTAGTAACTTTAAGTAAAGGAGTTTGTAATCCAGTTCCTGAAATCATCCTAAACAAAAAGGAAAAACAAGTTATTTTACTACACTCAGTATTGAATACTTTGAGGTAATTTTTAGTGTATTTCCACGTGTACTAGAAGGCCTATGGTACAAGGTGGATTAAGCACATCTATTTTAATACTCCTATTTACAGACTGAGTTCTTGTGTTTACATGTTATTGAAATTGATTATTTGTATTTTGTTCAGATCTGATAAGCATTTACATATTGCTCCATTTCTCAAGGGAGTAATATATTTATTTATTTATTTGTGATTATATATACAGTGAGTTTATTTCTGATGGATGTGATGAATGTTTACCATAAAAGTGGCAACTATAGTTCCTGAATATTTGAAGCCTTGTGGAAAATCTTGACTCTTACTGAAGGTTACAACTGTGAATTTTGAAAATTGATACTGTGAACTTTGAACCTTGATATTTTAATGTTGTACAACATGCCTGAACTGATAATGATTGAACTGATGATAGCTGATCTGAACAGTAGTTACTGCAGCGTGACAGTACTGTAATTTGTGAGAGTTATTCTTAAATTGGTTGTGACATATATTTGACCATTGTTTATAGGTCAGGTTTTTATATGGGACGAATCCAAGGACCAGTTCAGCAATTACAGATCCCAGAGTGTTCCAGTTTTCACCGGATGGCGAGCCAATCCCAGATCCTAGGGGACGATATACATTTACACGCACACTCATTTGCACATTGATAGACTACAATTCTCTGCTGTACAAGTAGTGCAGTAGGACAGACAATCACACACACGCACTTCTCATTGGACGGACTCTGTTGCAATGCACCCATTTGTCATGGGCCCCACCGGTACCATTTGGACTTTAAAGACTAATTCTTTACTTCTGCACAATTTTATTTTATTCTATTTTTTTGCTACTTTGGGGGGAAATTTTTATACATATGTTGTAATTCTGTGTTGGTTACAAAAATCTCTTGAAAAAAATCTTAAAATAGCTTAAATTACTAAAGTTACTTTAAAGCCACACAACTGTGTTTTGTTTCTCTGTCATTCATGTACCAGAGCTCCAAGAGTCCTTCCTATTCTTCTGATACCAGCGGAAAATTACTCATCACCTTGGTTATTATCCATTGGTACTGTATATAAACCCACATAAGTGCTACAAGTTTCTATACTGTGACATGAGTGAAAACCAGATTGAAATCTCTTGTAGATATTATTATTAACCAGGTGTGAAAGAAGTTGAGCTGCGCCGTTTTTTCAAGTATTTTAGAAATGGAGGTTAGATTAGAAGGAGGTTGTTAAAGTTGAATGATAGCAGAGATGAGTGGGAGTAGAGAAGAGAGGCAGGGTTTCAGGTCATTTATTTGACCGTTCTTCTTAGCAGAATTGGTAGAATTAAGGTTGAAGTAAGACATTTTTAATAGAATTAAGAACAAGGCTTTCAGAAAGTAATGTAAGCCTGCCTTATCCATTCAGTTTTAGTTTGTGTTTGGGATCATTGTCTTGTTGGAGCAGTCAATTGTGTCCAAGTTTCAGCTGTCTAGCTATTCACTAAAGGTGAAGTTGAAGAATTTGGAGATACAATAAACCTCCTTCATTATTTCATCTGGTTTGTGCAATGTACCAGTACCAGGAGAAGCAAAACAGGTGATGCTATCACTGCTACTTGACAGCTCGTACAGTGTTCTTTGGTTTGAAAGCTTAACTCCTCCAAACATACTTCTTGTCATTGTGACCAAACAGCTCAATCTGTGTGTCATCTGTGCATCAAACGTTTCCTGGAAATCCTAAATTATTTTTTTTCCATTTAAGTGTGACAGTTTGGGTCTTCTTCTGGAACTTGGCAAAGTGGTTATCCTCTTAAGCCCATACGCCCCAGATAAGGGGGCAAAAGACAGGAGATAGGTTTGGCATTGGGGCTTAAGAGGTTATGTCATATGGTGTTGTGAAACAGGCAGGATGGAGGACCCAAAACACAAACTCTCAGACAAAAACTAAACTCAAAAATTTATGAGTTTATTGCTGGACTTAACTCATTCACTGCCAGCCATTGGCAGTGAATGAGTTAAACCCATTGACTCATTCACTGCCATTGACGGCTATAGACGTCAATGGCAGTGAATGAGTTAAGCAATACAAAACAAAAACAGGAATGAACTAGAACCAAAGAAACAGACAGAGCACACAGCCAGGGAATGAGCAAGATTGTGACAAGAAACAGAGGGGAGATGCAGACATAAATACACACAAACCAAGGGCAAACGAAGGTGGGAACACAGCTAAACGTAATCTAACAAAAAAGACGGGAGGCAAAAGTGAACATGCTGAGACAGGAGACTATCAAAGTAAAACAGGGAGTACAAGAAACACACACTAAGATGCAGACTGAGTAAATGAAGCTTATGCGCAAGTTCATCAAGGAAGATGGATGGTCTCACATCTATCTGCTTCCAGGTGCTGGGAATCTCGAGTTTTGTACTTCCACTTTCCCACGTTTCCAAGCTGTTTGTGTCATCACTGGTCTAGTCCAATCACCTTCTCCAGCCTTTTCCAGGCCAATCAGCATTCATAGCGCATACTTTAAATCTCACTGTGCATCTGTTTTTCTCCTTTGCAGATGCTGTTGTGCAATCCAACTCATCCCCATCCCCACCTCTCATCACTCAAGCTCCATTCAAGACACCTTCATCTCCACCACCAGCGTCTAAGCTCCGATTTACTCAGCAATAAATCATGTTCATTCTTGCTAATAATCTGTCCTCACTGAAACACAGGCAACAGGTGGAGTGAGAGAGACACGGAGACATGGCTGGGGAACAGGCAAAAACATGGAGACCGAGACACGACTGGGAATTTGAGAGCGAGAGACAGAACTTAACAGACCTAACCTGACATGAAAGACTGCACGGGAGGCACAATAACAAAGGAGATGCTGGGGAGGAAACAGAGACAAGACCAAGAGAACCCTAAAGATAAGAAAACTGAAGTGACTTATGAACATAAATATAAACAGACAGAAACTCCACAACTAACACAAGGAAAATGGAAAATGCTGGGCAAAAAAACCCAGGATCATGACAGATTATACAGTGATAATGATCCTGTGCAGATGCAGATTTTTGCTCACCTCAAGGCTTCATAATGGGATTTCACAAATTTAGAGACAACATCACAGCAGCTACAGACATCTTTTATCCTGTCTATGATTTTCAGCCTTTTGAAAAACGGATTCAATACTTGAGCTATTCTTACATTCTACTTATAATATAATGTTGTATAGCTTCCTAAACCTCCTGATCTTTTGGTATATTCTATTTCTTCCATTTAGTTCCCATCTTTCCCACCTTCATGTCACGCACTGAAATTGGAATGACTGTAGCCAATGAGTGCCCTCAGTGGACTAATGTTTGAAGCTATACTTTTAGTTTTCTGCTAAAGCACCATGTTCTTCTCTATCCAGCTTTGATATGTTATGGTGAAGGTTAGGCTCCCTGTTAGCTGTTCTTCTACTTGTTTGTATTGTAATTATACAAAATAGTTTAATTATCAGTGCTGTGTGTTTAATGTAAAGGTGTAAGAAATAACCTGACACAATATATACTGTTTATATATCAACAAAAACCGCGGTAAAACACTGATATCAGAATCAGCATATAAATTTCAGAGTTGCTGCACTTTGTTGTGCTGTTGGCTTTAAGGAACGTTTAGACCCTTAACAAATCTATTAGATTTACATGCTGAATGTAAAAAAGAAAAGAAAATGATGTGTGGATATTTTCTTACCTCGAGTTCAATGATGTTGCACTAAAAGGCAAAAAATCAAAACGAACAAAAGTGAGAAAATTGTTAGAGGAAATGATTTTCCCATACAGTGTCCTACCAATGTCTCTATCCAACTGCAGGCTTGGTAGAAATTCAAAAATATTAAACGCGTAACACAATTGAACATAAAATGAATTTCAACAGTATGTGATTTTTTTTATGTTATTTTGTATACTCCAAGTGTTTGCTTGTTAGAGTTATCACAGAATAAGTAAAAAACAAATTGTACTATTGATTTGTTAGTGCAAGTTGACTGATAAACTCAGAGTGATAAAAGTCAAGGAGGAAAGGAGAGACAGAAACACTCACCAGCTGACTGACAGGTCTCAACTTGGGGTCCAGTGCAACAACCCTGAAATGCACTTTGGAAGAAGTTCAAAGATTTTACACCTTAATAAGTAATAAATTCTGACCAAGAAATGAAACTGAAACATTCTCCAACATCATTACTGCCAAATAAGCAGTAGTACTAACATCATTTTCTCTTTGTTTCTATTCGTAACAAGCTTTAAGTAAATTAAATGTGTATATATTTTATATTGTTCATCCTCATATCCTTTGTAGAGGAAAAGCGTGAAATGGACATGGTGGACTGCCATGTCTATACACGCCTTGTTGTGATATCAGGTTGCAGCAAAAGACTTTCATAAAGCCCGGAGAGCACTTTTTAAAAAACACAGCAGATGAGAATCTGACTTCTCCGAAGCAAAATGTAAAGAAATGATAGCTGGCTTAAACGGTGTCAGAGTTTAAAGAACTTTATAGGACAAATCAGAATATTGAGTTGTAACCTAACAAAAAGGCCCATATTAATGTTAATGATGTATTTGCACCTTCAAACTGTACCAGACTTTCCTGACAGCTACAATAAGAGGATGCAAACTCATATATGTTTGTGAACAAGGGGTATCTTTACAGAAATAACAAAAAGCCAAACTTCAGTCAGCTGTTATGTTTTGTCTGTAGTGCTTTAAGTCAGTCACTTTATAAACTGTTAAATACATATATTAGGTATTTTTAAAAATAATTTATAGTTAATAAAAATCTGCATTGTGAAGCAGCATCCATGAATTTTTTCAAGGCTTCTGCATTTATCATAGAATCATAATGCTGAACAATTTAGAAAAACAGTTTGTAGCATACTTGTTCAGACTGAAGGCAGAAGGTGTTTTAAAAAAAGCAGAACAGTTTAAAAGATTTAAATCTAAGTGTTTCAAAGACAATAATGTGTTTCAAAAGTGTTGGTGACACAGAGAGTGCTTGGATTGTGCAGCA